TATACCTACACTCATTACACTTATATTGTTTCACGCCCTCCCCCCGTGGCACAGCGGTATGTCTGCGGACTTACAACGCTGGAATCCGTGTTTCGATACCCGTGGTGAGCAGATCACTGACTTCACGGAACCCATCCCCCTCACAGCCCCCTTGCACCCCGTCACTAAAATTGTAATGTTCAGACACTAATCGAACTTTTCTATCTGGATAAATGTATTTTGACTTTTATGACTCCTATTTCGAGAAATCAAGCGTGACGTGACGCACACTGGCTTTTATATACAGTAGGTTAGATATATTGTACTATAAAGTAGTACGAATGTAGTACAGTATATACCGGCCCAGTAAGCAAGCAACAGTATCTTTAATAATGGTAATCTGATTTAAAAATATGAAAACTGGTTATTTTCTTTGACTAGGAAGGTTTTTGTATCGGTTTCTCAACATTTTTAACGATACTGTTACCCCAAGAGAACTAATGAGTTTAGTTTTGGGTTGAGTTTTGTCTTCTATCTCAGTATTGCATGATAACCGTACCACTATTCATCGGTACTAACTTGTATTTCGTGTACCAGCTTCTCATTGTAATTAACAGTACTTGCATCTCAAGATAGCTGATGAGTTTAATGTAGTTAGTTGTATTGATGTTTATTTTTGTCAGTGTAATTATGTCTCAAAGGAGCTAGTGGGGTTACTGAAACTATTAGGGTTAAATGTATATGGTCTCAATATCTTTAACTATACTGTTGCCTCAAGAGAGTTTATAACATTACTATGGCTAGCTTTAAACTTGTATTTGTCTCCAGTACTGCTAACCTTACAAATACTTTATGAGAGAGGTTACTGTGACTAAAAGGATGTGTTTCTAGTATTGTTAATGATGTTCATACCTCAAAAGAGCTAGTAAGATTACTGTTAATTTTATTTATAATTTAAGAGAACTGGTGAGGTTAGTGTGACTAAGATTTTAGTTGTATTTGTTTCCAGTGTTTTTCATTTTACTAACCCTGCTTAATTTAAACATTATCATTGTCTTGATTTTCCTTTTATTACAGTGCTCTCGTCATTGACACCTCAAGAAGTAGACACCAGGATCATGAGGTTTACAGATGGTGTTGAAATTGCCTTACACAGAGCCAAAGTTTGGTCTAAGTATGCGAAAGATATCTTAACATACATTGAAAAGAGAACAATCTTAGGTAGGTTGTATAAAGCATGCTACATTAATATTGTTAAGACAGCGGAGGTCACGTGACGCTAGTAACACGTCATGCGCTTCTCGAACGTTCACGTCCCTTACCTGAAATCTCGAGAGGCTACTAGATATGCGGTAGTCTTGTATATATAAACCGGTAAGTACTGACGGCAACAATGTAATTGAATTGCGGACAGAGAGAGACATATTGTTGAGTCGAGCACGTGAGTCGTTCGTTGTGAATTATAGCGTTTGTTATAGCACGACTGTGGAAATTAAGTGTATTGCAAAGTTGTATTCAGAAAGAATAAACCAGTTTTATTTAAGAAAGGACTTGTATCGCTAAAGTTTCTTCGAAAAGAATTTTTACGGAAAATTAACTAACGATCGGAGTCGTAACAAATTTGTGTCAGAAGTGGGATAGAAAAAAAAGAAGAAGATCGAATCCTAATATGCATTGGTCTTCAATGTTAGCCAAGTATACTTTCTGTCTGTCCTTTATGCCCATGAGCTCAATAGTTACCCACACTGGTCCCCACGATCTTGTAGATCTTAGCTTCTGTACAGCTTCAGGTACTCCTTCGTGATCCAGCACCTGGATACTCACAAGGGTTTGCTGAGATGCAGAATCTATGCCAAAGTTGCACCTTTGGCCATCTAGCTTCCCTGTCACATAGACACCATGTGTGCTTGCCATTTTGCACTTAGTTGTTGGGACTTTCACGATGGGGGTTGGTAAGCGTCCCTCAGCACCAACCACTACTGGTTTCCCGAAGCTGTCTTATTGGTGGTATTC